TGAGTCAGTGCCAGTAGTTTCACGGATGGGAGTTCGAGTGGATGAAGCCGATGCCGTGAATGATGCTGTGCGTGATGCTTTTGGTGTTCACGAAAGCTCGAATCCCAACGAAGATGAAGTAGAGGGACCTCAACCGGAGTTTCTAAGAAACGAAACTGCTCGGGAATTTTTTGACCTCATGACCGAAGCTGACAAGCCTCTTTATTCTGGGTGTACAAAGTATTCGAAGTTGTCATTCTTGGTGAGGCTGTATCACATCAAATGCTTGTGCGGTATGACTGACAAGGCGATGTCTATGTTGCTGGAATTACTGGGAGATGCTTTCCCCCAAGCTGAATTCCCTCCATCTTTTTACGAAGCAAAAAAGATTATTAACAAGCTTGGCTTGAACTATAAGAAGATAGATGCATGCCCAAACGACTGTATGCTATACTGGGGAGATGATGCCAACAAAGAGATTTGTACGAGATGCAAGACGTCACGCTATAAGTCGGTACGGAAGGGCAAGAAGCAAAAGAAGAAACCGGCCAAAATTCTCAGGTACAAATTATTACAGCGTGTTACTTGTTCCGTCTCTAAAAATATTCGATATTTGAAATTCTTAAAACAATTGATTATGTCATCAATTTTTTAAATTGAGTCAATATTTAGTATTTAAATATTCGGTATTTTAAATTTTTAATATATTATTTTCTTAGATACTTTCCTTTGAAACCACGGTTGCAAAGAATGTATATGTCATCAAAAATGGCTCAGCACATGAGGTGGCACGCGACTGAGGAAAACCTAGATGGTAGGTTAAGGCACCCACGAGACTCGGAGGCGTGGAAAGCGTTTGATGCGAAATTTCCAGACTTTGCCAATGATCCTAGAAATGTACGTCTTGCATTGGCAACCGATGGTTTTAATCCCTTCGGAAACATGAGCACAAGTTACAGTATCTGGCCGGTGGTGTTAATTCCATACAATCTACCACCTTGGATGTGCATGAAGCAGAGCTCCTTTTTGCTTTCCATGATCATTCCTGGCAAGAAAGCACCAGGAAATGATATTGACGTATACCTGCAACCGTTGATACACGAATTGATCGACCTATGGACGAATGGTGTTGAGGCATATGACTCACATGACAAGCAACTATTCAATCTCCGTGCAGCCTTGATGTGGACAATAAGTGATTTTCCCGGTTTGGGAACTTTGTCTGGCTGGAATGTGCATACTGGGTTGGCCTGTCCTGAGTGCAATTTTGATTCTGTGCCATGTCGCCTTCCACACAGTCGCAAGTGGTGCTTCATAGGACATCGACGGTTCCTTGATTCCAAGCACAGACTTAGATTGCAACGGATTCGCTTCGATGGGAAACAGGAGAAGAGAGATCCTCCTGTTACTTTGTCTGGTATGGATATTTTGCGGCAGTTAGAAGATGTTCATGTCGAGTTTGGTAAGAGTGTGGATCCCGAACGATTGGGACGACGATCTCGTGGGACATCTGATACGCAACCTATGCAATGGCGGAAGAGAAGCATATTTTTCACTCTTCCTTATTGGGAATCTAATTTGCTACGACACAGTTTGGATGTTATGCACATTGAAAAAAATGTGTGCGATAATGTGCTATATACGTTGCTCAATGAAGCTGGAAAGTCCAAAGACCATCTCGCAGCTAGAAAAGATTTACGGGCCTGGGGAATTCGTGAAGAGGCTTGGCCTGATGAAAACGACAAGTTTCAGCCAGCTAAATTCACCTTGACAAAGCAGAACAAGGATATCTTCCTCTCGACGTTGAAGAACATAAAAGTACCAGATGGATATTCTAGCAACATCTCAAGGTGTATCGATCTGCAGGCTCGAAAGGTTACTGGGTTGAAAAGTCATGACTCTCATGTTCTTATGCAACAGTTACTTCCATTGGCCTTGAAAAACACACTTCCTTCTGATGTATCGGTGGTTTTGGTAGAATTATGTTCATTTTTCAAGAAGTTGTGTGCGAAGGTCTTGGTAGCGGAAGAGCTTGATCAGCTGCAAAATAAAATTATTCTTACACTTTGTCACTTGGAGATGATATTTCCTCCATCATTCTTTACTGTTATGGTTCACTTGACTGTCCACCTTGTTCGAGAAGCAAAGGTTGCTGGCCCAGTTCACTATCGATGGATGTACCCTATAGAGAGGTACTAGATTATCTTTTATTCCCGCCTCTTTAAATTTCACATTGTTCTTTCATTTACTCGTAATTATTAATGCAATTTTAACTTACAGGTACTTGGGAAAATTAAAATCATATGTTAGGAATAAGGCATGGCCTGAGGGGTCAATAGCAGAAGGTTATTCCGGAGATGAGGTCCTAACTTTCTGTTCGAGGTACTTTGATGACATGGAGACATCTTTTAACCGCCCGCGTCGCGTAGATGATTCTCCTCCTGGTCCTTCCACGTCAACTTTATTTCCTCCTGTTGGGAAACCAGTTGGAGGATATGAATTCTTCAGACTCACTCCTACAGAGAAACTCCAGGCACACAGACACGTTTTGATAAATTGCAGCCAAGTTGAACCCTTCATGCAGTAAGTATATATATCATATAAGCTCACTAGCTTTTACACTTTATATTTGTTTCTTACTGACTCTTCTAACAAATTACACTTTACTATAGTGAGTTTAGGAGTTATCTCAGGCGTCAGCTACGGGGCCGTGCGCGTTCTGCTGACATTGATAAAAGAGTCCACAAAGAGTTTCCCAGTTGGTTTACACGTCGAATACGTAATGACAACAGCCCATACACAGATGAATTCAAAGCTCTTTCTCTCGGTCCGTTAGACCATGCACGAAGGTTTACCGCGTACAATGTCAACGGCTTCAAGTTCTGTACGGTTGGACGTGATCAGGGATTGCTCACACAAAACTCTGGAGTTTGCGGGACATTCGGAACGAGATGTTATGCTAGCAGTAGTGATGGCGATATGCGCTTTGGAGGCGTCACTTACTATGGAAAGCTAATTGACATTATTGAGTTGAGTTACCAGCTTTTCACCGTGACACTGTTCAAATGCTCCTGGGCAAATACGACAACTTCACGGGGACTCGCTACTGACCATTTGGGCATCACCTCAGTCAATTTCTCTAGACTTATTCATACGGGGGCATCTGAAGATGATGAGCCATATATCCTTGCTTCTGAGGCACACCAAATTTACTATGTCGAGGACGAGAAACATAAAGACTGGAATATGGTCGTTCACCTCAAGCCACGGGATCTTTACGATATGGGTGATGGTGACATTATTTACGACAGTGAACCCTTCCAACCCTCGAATTTTGAAGACTTCTTTCCTCAAGGAGATGATAATTTGCCACTTATCAGGTACACGTCTTTTCTTAAATTATTTAAATAATTAACTACTAATTACTAATTTTTTCCAAATACAACATAAATTTAACAAATTTTTTTAAAATGTGTCCTTTCAGGCCGGATGATGATGGAGAATAGCAGCATCCAAAATAAATTATTTAAAAATTTTTTGTCCATAAATACATATGTATAAATTAAAATTCGTACAGTTTTTTTAAAAATAAAAAAATTTCATTTGTAGCGGTTACATAACCGCTACAAATTTTTTTCACGAAATTGTAATTTGTAGCGGTTATTAACCGCTACAAATGTATTTTCACGAAATTGTAATTTGTAGCGGTTAATAACCGCTACAAATGTATTTTCACGAAATTGTAATTTGTAGCGGTTAATAACCGCTACAAAATACATATCTATAAATTAAAATTCGTTCAGATTTTAAAAATAAAAAATACTAAATTTCTAGCGGTTAATAACCGCTACATATATAACCGCTACGAAATACTAGCGCTTATATATACGCTAGAAAATGAATAACAGCTACAAAATGCAATAAAACGCTACAAAAACATCGCTACAAATGTGTCGCTGATCTCTATAAATACCATATCTTCTCTACATTCATTTACTCCATCTCTTTTCCTTCCTCTCCTATTCTTCTTCATAATTCTCTCTTTTTTTCTTACTATCTCATATGGTGGTTTTTTCTCTTTACTCTATGGTAAGTGAATTTTATTTTATAATTCATTGTATCTTTTATTTGTTTTTATTTAAAATTTACTAACATATTTATTTCTCCTTTCCTTTCAGATTTTTCTTCTCCACATTTGTCATGCCCTCCTCAACTGATTCAAATACTCATCAACCTAATACTATAGGTTCAATATTCAAAATATATCATCTTCAATTCAACTATCTTATTAAATATTCAATTAAATTATCTTATTAAATTAAATTCACTTCTTTTGACACATTCATAATTTAATTACATATTTTTTATTACAAAATTTGAATATATAAAATGTAACATATAACTAATTATACAAATTAACAAAAATTCTTCAAAATAATTTATTTAATGGTTTTTAAAATTATAATATGAAAAACCATAAATTTTTTTTCTGGCACGGTAAACATTTCTAGCGGTTCCGAACCGCTAGAAATATTTCGTCAAATTTAAATTTTGCGCCAAAATTTCTAGTGGTTCAAAACCGCTAGAAAATTTTTTCCCGCCATTCCTAAAATTCAATTGGCGGGAAAATTTAATTTCCCAAACATTTCTAGCGGTTCTATAACCGCTAGTAATTTTCGCGCGCTACTGAAATTATTTAATTCCCGGCAAAATAGATTTCGTTTAGCAGGTTTCTAGCGGTTATAAAACCGCTAGAAATTTTTTTCCAGGAACTTTTCTAGCGGTTTTATAACCGCTAGGAATGTGTCTCCTTCAGATATTTTCTAGCGGTTAGAAACCGCTAGAAATTTTCTATCGTTTTGACCATGATGTGTAGCGGTTGCGATAACCGCTAGAAATTTTTTCTTGCACCTGTTTTTCTAGCGGTTTCCTTAACCGCTAGAAATGTAACACTCTAACCGCTAGAATTAACATATTTTTTTGTAGTGATTTCCAGAACAATATGTTAAATAATCAATAGATGGGTGGAGGCTCTTAGCTCAATTTATACTGAGCACGCTTAAATATGAGTGGGTGATATTTTTGAAGTTATATATGTTTATATTAAATAAAATAACCTTCTCTTTCTCACCCCCCTTTTATTTAATTTCAAGCACCCACCAGTTTGAGAGATTTCTTTCCGTTTGTTTTCTTTAAACCAGAAAAAGGAATTGATGAAACTAGTTAATGCCGTGTTATAAGTAGTACTAACACATACACATACATATGAATAAATAAATTTGGACAAAGGGTAGTCTTGTCCACCTATCTGCTGTGCAACATGAATCAATTAAAGGCGTGGCAGCCTGTAAGAAACAAGGCATTTAATTAGTGCAGTTATTAAAGCACTCAGACATAGACAAGACCAAGAAGAAGAAGAAGAGGAAGGCGACGAAGGCTCAAGAACAAGAATCTTTAATGGAGAGGTCACCGACTCCACCACAAGAAGAAGAACACGAAGTGAAGGTTTTAGAGTCGCCGCCGGAGAAAGCGATTTTCTATATTCACCACCCAAGCCGTTTCCTTCTAAAGTTTCTCAAGCCTCTCTTGAAGTGTCTAGGGTTTGACGAGATCTCGGTTCGTTACAACGACGATCCAAAGAGCCTCAATCGTCTCTCATGCGGTGCAGTTTACCCCAACGGATGCAACAATCATGCAGCAGCAGGGGACCAAGACTACGCCGTTCCTTCTTCCCCTCCACAAGCTTCAGATCCATCTGCTCCGCCAACAGACCAGGTGTGTATATATCTATCCCAGCTAAGTGTTGAGCTCGGTGCAAAAAACCCACACTACTGTTGGTTTTAAAGGAGCATTAAATGACATTTTTCTTTTAATTTTATTATATTCCTGTTCCAAGTTATACTAAAAGAAGAATTTAATTCTAATTCAGTTTCCATACTACTCCTCGAATGTCATGTGTTTCTCGCTCTCTTCAATAAGAATAAAATCGATAAATTTTATAGTTTTAATGACATATTTAATGATTTAACCTCTCTTACTTGATTTAAGTGATGTGATTGAAAATGATTTATAATGGAGAACCGATGAAGTAGTTTCTAGTACTAATTTTTATTTATTTATCATCAAACATTAAACACTCTTAAGCTTTGAGTTTTGGAGCTTCATCCACTTGTAAATTTTCTAATTTTTTTTTAAAAGAAACGATTTATTTGAGTTAATATTCTGATTATTCATTAATTTCGGATGTTCTACAGTTTTTATACCGAAAAAAGAAATTCTGAATAGATTTGGATTGATTGAACAGTCAAATTTTACCCCTGTAAATTTTTTTGGTATGTACAGGATATAGCCAGCTGGTGTGAAATTTTTTTTACATTTAGTCAAAAGTTAAAAAAGAAAAAGTTAAAATATTACATATATATAGCCAATAAGAGTTAATCTGGTCCGTAAGAAATCAACTCATATCTCATGAGGTGGAGGTGGCGAGTTCAAATACCTTGTCGGTGGAGAGTTCGAATATCTTGTCGGTGAACGATCTATAAGTATCTTTATAAGCGTTTTTTTAGCCTGAAAATATGCCTTCACGTTTGTTCAATGAAAACAATTACACATATATATTGATATGTTGATTGTCACATTGATACGATGACTTATGTGGGTGTATTGATGTGGTTATTGCATTTTTGTGCAGCCAAATGGCACAATTATACTACTAGTAAGTTTCCGTTCTGGAAGGCCAGGACCAACTCCAGGACCAGGTCCTCAAACTAATTAGTTGGATTTCTCTAAACCATCAAACGGTTAGCTTGACCTGTTTCCTTAATTGTGCTTTCATTTTTCTTTCCAGTGAGATGTTTTCCTTTAGTTTTTGGGCTATAATTTATGTGTGATGGTTAATTTCTCAGAGGATCTTGTTGATTTAGAAACATCAAAAATAGGAAAGATGCTATATGATAGAAAAGTTCGATGTAAATCCTTATGTAACGTAATATGTGTGTATGCAACCTTAGGCTTCTTTTCTCAGTTGCACATTTGAATAGAGTCAAGAATGAGTGGTATTATTACCAAACAAGCGCTTGGATCAAGTGGTTATGAGTCATCTCAGCTTAACTACTTATCTTTTGTTTGAGCCCTTAACCTCCCGCAACAACCTTAGATCCGTTGACGCTAATAATCATATCAGAAGTTGTGAAGAAATGATGGTTCAAACCCTCAAGTTTTTCGCGTTTGTGATGAGAAGCGCCTGTAAATCTTTAATGCAAAATTAAATATATATTTATAATATTTGAAATGAAAAACACAAATATAAATTATATACGTACATATATATATTTAATATATTATTATATGTTCCTATTTAATTTTCTTATTTTAGTAAAAATTTATTAATAATTAATAATTTTTGTTTATATTTAAAATATGTGTTTTTTTATTTATATATAGCATATTATTGAAAAATTATTGTATATTATATTTTTATTTTAATAATAAATATTAAAAATAATTTTTATATATTGATATTACAATTTTTTGTGACAGCATATATATTATTGAAAATGTTTTGTGGGAAAATGGAAGTTGTTAATTTCACATTGAAACGTATGAACTATATAATATAACTTGTTAATTTTTAAGAGTGTATAGTGCTCAAGTTCTTTTTAAGATTCACTAGAAATGTTTTGTATTAAAATAAAAGTATAAATTTTGAATTAAGATTTGTGAATTACATAATGTGACTTCTTAATTTTTAAAGATCTATTGTGCTTAAATTCTTTTCAGGATTCATTAGAAATGTTTTGTTAGGAAAGTAAATTTCTAATTTCGAGTTAAAACTTGCAATCAATGCAATGTTACTTGTTTTGTTTTTGTTTTCATTTTTTTTTTTTGCCAACAATGTAATGTAACTTGTTAATTTTTAAGAATGTATCTTGAATTCCTTTTTAGACTTATGGGGTATGTTTCGTGGGAAAATGGAAGTTGTTAATTTCAAATTGAAACTTATGAATTGTTAATGTAACTTGTTGATTTTTAAGGCTTGAAAATCAAGATTTAGAAAAGAATTTGAAAGTCCAACCAAAAATATTGACGTGATTTGACCAACTTTTTAAATTCCTGTTTAAATCATCTGACTTGATTAGATATTTTGTAAATTTATAAACCACATTAAAAATTGAGTTGTTCAATTGAATTGGTATGGGATTTTTTCATCTTAATATTGTTGGCAAACATTTTTAATATATTTTATGTTTTATTATTTTGTATAAGTTGTTTATTTTTTTTGGTAGAATGGATAACTTGCATATCTCAGTGTTAGCACAACGTATTAGACATACGTAGGTTTTTAAACCAACACTTATTCTATTCTATTCAGTGTAAATATAGCCTAAAATCGTTTTAAGAATATCTATTGACTTCGAATAATTCTAAAATTTCAGTTTAGTATTTAAGAATAAAAATGAAACTATAATTATGTGCCCTGTGTTACTTCCCCCCCCCCCCCAAAAAAATCAACCATTATCACCCAGTTGGTGGAGGTCTGGCATAATTTTGACGACTGGCTATCGAAGAATACTTTTTCCAAAAATGTGGTTTGGAGGATATAAATCCATTATCCCTTAGCACACTGAAAAATTAATGACGATCAAGCCATGAAATTCTTTGATTATATGGTGCAAAAAATAGTACATGTAATAAACTTATGTCCCTGATATACGTCTTTATTCCCTCATGTTCTTGTTAATTTACTAGTAATTGTAATTATTCTCATACGTTACAAGTGAAATTTTAGGAATTTGAAAAATAGGAGTTGATAAGTTTATCCTTCTATTTTTTAGTACAAGGTTATGTTACTACTACCTCCGGTCCTAATTATAAGACCCAGTCGACTAATTTGAAGAGGTTAAGGAAGTAAGTTAAGTTAGTTATTTGTAACAAATAAGTGTTGCCATTCCTAAAATATCCTTGCTAATTAAGTGTGTTGGTTAGAACTATCATTATTAGAAGGATTATCTTGGAAAAAATTGCATAAATATGAGAGACAAAATGGATTGGGGTCTTATAATTAAAATCAAACTAAAAGTCAAACGGGGTCTTATATTAAAGACTGGAGGTAGTATAACATAACATAAATAAAATAATGTTCATATGGTTGAGTGCAGCGCTGGGAAAATGTGCCGGAGGGTCGGCCGTTCACGAGCAACAGGCTTAAAATGGGCCAGTTATCTTACCAAGTCTGGCTCTTATATAGACAAGTTCGTGCCGGCCTATGGGCTTTTGATCCATTTCAATTTTTAAATTTTTATTTTATATATTTTGATATGCATAAAAGTAAAACAATAAATCTCATAAAATTTAAACTTTCGATCATTAATATTTAGTAAAAAAAAAATGCTTAATTGTTATCCAGATTTTCAAACCTAAACCAAATTAAGTTATTGTCCTAAAAATTGTACAAAATACAGAATAAACACTAAATAATAGTAATATGATCAATATGATTTTTATCACTATCTTCAATATCAACAATATTTGATTTTACATTACCATGAGTATCTATGTTTCAGTGACCAAAATATCAAGGCTTTTTTTCTTCAAATAAAATTCATTACAAGTTTTGTAGTCTAGTTATTATTTACTTTAATTCTAGATATGCTAAAATTGAAACTCATAAATTTTTAATTCAAGTTATAAAATCACAAATTATATAAATATAAAAAATTCTTTCTTATCAAATATATATAGTTTAAAAATATTGACACATAATATAAATCAAATAATTATTTAAAGGCTTTTAACTCATTTATTAAAGTTCAATCAAACGAATCATTGTCTAGAACCAAATAAATAAAACCATTTTATAAAATTCAATTTTAAAAGGATATTGATAACTAAATATCTAAAATATTATTAACAATGTGAAAAAAAAGTCATATTAACATTATATAAATAATTTTTTTAAAAAAATAGCCTAGCTTTTTGACCCGTTTTCAATTTGATGGGTGAAGTTACAAGCCTACTCCTGATAATTTTCAGGCTTAGATGGGCCGTTTTGACGGGCTTAGCCCCTTTTTTGGGGCTTTGAGTCGATTGGACTTCGCTGGACCGTGCCACATTAAGAATCACGCATTCTTTTTTTATTTTATTATGTCTCTATCCATTCAAATTTAATGAAGAGCCTATTTATCATGATATTAAATTTTAATTCAGTTCGCCCATCTAGACTCATGAATCGGTATGGTGAACAAATTTTCTGACCAGTTCGGTAAAAAATTTTGGGCAGGTTAACAATAAAAAAGAAAAAAAAATTATATGTTTTTTTTGACCCATCTAGACTCATGAATCGGTATGGATTTTTTTTAGAAAAGGAAAAAAAAATAACAATGCGTTAGATTTGTGCTTTTGAAACTTTTTTGGTGTGTATTACGTGCAATTTAAACTTAAATATTCTATTTACTTATATATTAATGTTTTTTGTTTAAATATTACTCTTTTAATCCTTAATGTAAGACCTATTTAACTAATTTGATTATATTAAAGAGTAAGGTAAGTTAATTAATCATAAGAATTATAACATATTTTTCCTAAAACACCATAATCATCTTTTTTAATATCTTTCCTCTCTCTTCTACTTAATTATAGTTGAGGGAGTATGAATATGAGCAATTTAGGAAAATTTGATAAATATAATAAATATGTCTTATATTTAAAATCAATATCAATTGAACAATTATTACTACATTAACGACTGGACAAGTATTTTTTTTAGAATTATATATAAATATTTTTGCATATTTTAATTACAATTAGATTCTTTTAAAAAAAAATTTCCCATGTTGTCCTATCAGCATGAAAAAATGTCTTTTGGGATCTACTTTAAGAAATTTAATTTTGCAAGTGAGACTTTCAATCGCAAATAGGTGATTGAAAATTTGCCTTTAAGTGTTCTCATTGGAACTCTAATTTCAGATAGATTTTTAACAATGACTCAAAGAAGTTGTAGATGTTGAAAGTCCGTCTTTCATTGGTGACTTCTAAAATCGTAATTGAAAGAGTCACTAAAAATTAGTTTTTTGTCATCGGAATTTCAACGACTTTTTTGAGTCGCTGTTGAAAGTTTTTTCTTTTAATACGAGTATTCAATTGTTGCAATACACATATAATGTTTTGTTTTGAAAAAAAATTAAGTACATTGAATTGTTTAAATGTCAGATACCAAATATGAAAGATTTAAATTTATTTATTTAAAATTTTGGTTAAATATTAAAAAAGTTACTTGACTATGTCTTGTTCTATAACACTACAAAAAAATAGCTCATTACTGACGGAAATAGTGACAGAAAATTGTTTCGTTGCTAATTTCTAACAGATTACCGATGAAAATTCCGTCGCTAAATTTAGCGACAGATTAGAGACGGAATTTTTGTTCGTCGTTAATCCGTCAGAAAATCTGTGAGTAAATATTTAGCCATAGAATTTTTCCCATAAAAAATTTCCATCGCTAAATTGTTTGTCATGGAAGTTTTCGTCATTAATTCTGTTGCTAATCCGTCACTAATTTTAAATTTCAGTATTTTAGATTATAATCTTACAACAATATATATAAGACCATAATTAAGAAATATAATGATTTAAATATATTTTCAATTGTAAAATAAATTGGTGTATTTGTAGAGTTAGTGTTAATGAAGGTGTCGTCATCATTCATGTCGTCATTAGGTATATACTGATAATAGGAAGACAATTTCTCAAAAAACTTGTTTATATTTCGTTAAAATTAATTCCTCTTGATTATTAATAATAATTAAAAAATATAATAAGAATATTAATAAATTTCTCATACAAACTGATACAAGAAAGAAATAATTTTATCATATGTATAATTTATTAAAAGATATAATATATGATAGAAATTTAAAACTGAAAAATAAATTTATATGAACACAAACTAATATTGAAGTGAATTTTGAATTTCAATCATTAAATAATAAAATTTAATCATGATATAATGAATACCCATGGTATAGATTGATTTTGGTCTTCAATGCAAAAACAAATGTTATATACAAAGAATTT